ATGGGCTCTGGTTTGTTCTTCTGTCTCTGTACATTTCCCACCTCGGCGGGTGATGTCAAACTCAGCAGTCAGGAACACGGCCCGTCACCTCCCTTGCTGGGAGGTTTAGTGCAATGGCAGTGATTTCTCTGTAACTCAGGAAATCTTTCCTCCTGCTAAGTAAACATGATCCAAAGCAATCTTTCTAGTAAAAGTTACTGTATGGGGTGCATTAAAAAATTGGGAGAGTATTGCTGTTCTGCTGGCTGGTAGCCTTGAGCACCACACAGTAACACTGGACCTGCACTAAATAGAATTTCCCATGCACCACTCTCCCGTCTAGGAAAATTGCCTGAAAGGTAACTGTAACATCATTTTAGTAGAAAGCCAGAACCTAACGAGGAAAAGTTTTAATTCCTGGTCCTTGTTAATATGCATTGAATTTGTATCAAAATGGTAGGGGTGGTCCTCTGACATGAAAGTGAGCAAAATGAAAAGTTCATTTTCTAGTCTGAACTACTGCTAGACTGGAAGGAAATTTGCATTCCAACATTGTCCTCAGATGACAAATTGTGTGACCAGGGACTAGTTCCTTAAAGCCTGAGTCTCAGTTTCTCATCTATAAGACATAATGATATGCAGAGAGATACTTTGAGGACAGCTGACAGGACGCATTTACTTTGTAATACAAATCGGCATGAAGGAGAAATGGGGACGAGGACACCCCTGAAGCTTCAGCCTTGGTCAGTCTGCAAGTGCTTGCACAGCACAGGACAAAGCCGGGCTGGTGTCAGGGGAGGACAGGAAGGCCTAGGAGGTAGCTCCTTGTAATTTCATTGGTAAAAGAAATTTTCTGAAATCCTTAAAAAGAAATGGAAAATAGTTTGTTTCATTCAGGTTTATGTCACTTAACAAAGGTACTTTCAAATCTTCATCCAAATTGATAGCTAGGACAATAATTTTAAATTTCACTGGAATGATATCTTTCCTAAAAGAGTTGGCCTTGAGTTTTAGGGCTGACACCTACTTAACTAATCTCTTACAGGCTGTGGTTAATTTCTTATGTATAAATCTATATCCCTAGAGTACTCCTCTTTGCTGCTAGTGTTCAGTCTGTGGTGCAGAGAGAATGGCTGTGTAGAAAAGACGTAAAATAAGACTGGTGTCCTTAGTGGCACCTACTAGTAAAATTAGACCCTGGCTGGTCTCTAAAAACATGGTTTTCTCATCATTTCCTAACTGATACATATGGGGACTATAACTAAACTCTGTACAAACAGTGGGGTTCACGTATACCCGCTTTCTTTTGGGAAAGTGTAGTTTGGGTATGTACTAGACAGAGGGTGTCTGTGTAACCAGCCCCAGTGAAAATCTTAGAAATTGAGCTTCTAAAGAGCATCCGTTGTAGACAACCTTTCCCATGTGCTAACAGTGTATGAAGCTGGAGGAATGTGGTGTGTTCGTTTAATGTCCCTGGGGAGGACTCATGGAAGCTCACACTGTATTTCTTCTATACTTCGTCTTGTGTGCCTTTTCCCTGTGTTAATTTCACTATGTACAAATAATCATGACAATAAGTGTAACTGTATACTGAGCCGTGTTAATTTGTCCAATAAATCAGTGACCAGGGGTGTTCTTCAGGACTGACCTCCAATGCCTGTGATCAACCAGTGATTACCCAGGACTGAAGGGAACCTTGGGTTGCCCAACCTTTGCAGTAATAAAGTTAGTAAACTGGGAAGAATTCAGGGAAACTGGGATGGGTTCATCAGTCCACCTACAGAACAAGCAGCAAGACATGTGGAAAAGTGAATTCTTGTCAAGGTCACTGCTTGTGAACTACCTCTCAGTCACATGGATCTCCTAATCCTACCTTTGGTGCTCCTATAGGTCCCTAAGAGTAGGACCGTGGAAGTCACCAAATGTGCAATAGAAGCTGGGTTCCGCCATATCGATGCTGCTTATTTATATGAAAACGAAGAGCAGGTTGGACTGGCCATCCGCAGCAAGATTGCAGATGGCTCTGTGAGGAGAGAGGACATCTTCTACACGTCAAAGGTACGATGTACATCATGCGTTTGTGTGCATGT